TTTTATAAAGCTTTTAATGGTATACTGTCATTACTAACTTGTCTGCCCCCACGCCACTAATTTTGCTCAACCCTGAAAATTTAAATCAATAATGATAATAATAATAACAAATGATAAAATTGAAATAATTGCTTAAAATAAACATAGATTTTAGCTGTCAAAATTATTAAAAAATAAAAATTGAATTCTGCCAAGCCTAAATATCTCCTAGGGAAAAATAAACCCTTCAAATGTAGTAAGCAGCACTCTTTCACCAACCACTCTACAAACTTGTTTCTTTTTGCCATCTGAGATTTAGCCAGCCCTGCTTGAAATGACCGGTTACACCAATGTGCCAAGCAACCCAGATCCTCCCTAACATTTTACTCTAGTTAACAGCAGCAGGGGATGATTTCTGCAACCACAAGGACTGATTTACTGAGTATTGTTCCATAGTGGATGGGAGAGGGAGAAATGGCTTGAGATCAACAAGGAGCATCCAGAGTTTGGAGGAATTTACCAGCTCTCTACAAAAGTAGACAGCTCTACGAATGCTGTACCTTAAGGTCTGGGCACAGTGCTGCCAGGTGGTGATGAGAGCTTAGCAAAGCCTGAGTACACATCTGTCCATGGAGCTCACTTCATTTCCTTCCTGCAGTGCTCTCTCTCCTTACTGGCCTAGGCCACTTTATTCATTTTCTGGCAGCTATTTAGTTAGTGCCTACTTTCCCCAGGACAGGGTTACAGATAGCATTGGCTTCCTAAGACAGGATGGTTACTAATCATTTAAGTACATGAAAATTTCATGGGTGCATTATTTTCTTCCTTAGAAGTCACTGACTCCTCTTCTGGAAAGTATCTGGGCTTTGCTAGTGCCTTGTTGGACACTCTGCTGTTATACTCACCTGAGCTAGAGGTTGAAAGTAATATAACAAAAGCCATCACAAACTACCTTCTCAGAGGAAGGTCAGATAAGTCACAAATGAAATAGCTTTTGTTTGGATTGAGAGTGGAGATGGCCCCAATCAGAATCCTAGAGACGGACAATCCTGAACGTTGGGGAAGTCCAGAGCTAAGCCAAATATTGAGAGTGCTCCCTGCCGCTGCACAGGGCTGACTTGAAATCCTGCCTCTGGCTACGTCCAGCATTTTGGAGACGCTAAACTAGACCTGGATGTAGATGCAAACACAATAGTTTGGCTGCGTCCCCACAGGAAGGGGCATATAGTTGGTGCAGGGAAAAAAAGCAGTGGCACAAATTCATGCCACTGCTTTTTGCCCCAGCATGTGCCCCTGTACATGCTCTGGGTGGAGCAGGAAAGACTAGAGCCAGCACCTTGGCTGGCTCCAGCAGCCTTACCTGGGATCCTGGGGGGCCTTCCTGGGCTCCAGTGGTGGCAATCTGGGTGCGTGGAGCCTGGCCAGCAGCTGGAGCATGGCTCTGGCTGGCAAAGCTCTGGTTTCAGGCGGTGCATGCTGCTGCCATGTGCAACATGCTGCTTTTTTCCAGCATGCTTTTTTGATACCAGGATTTTTAGGTATTTAAATTAGGCTCTGTGCTGCAAATATGCAGCACAGAAAACCAAATCACATAGATGGGGTGTGTTTTGTAGTGGGGGGGCCAGCACTGAAACCCAGGTCCAGCTCCCTGCTGCTGGTACGCTGCCTGCCCTGCACAGGCAGGCAGCATGCTTCAGCATCAGAGCAAGGGCCAACCATAGAGACGCTTTGGCAGCCAGAGCATCTTTGTGGAGGACCTACCTCCGGTTGCCCCGCATTTTTTGTCTGCGTTTTTTTTTGACTCTTGGATATTCAGAGGTCTAATTTTGCCCCCGCGCTGCAAATTTGCAGCGCGGGGAACATTTTCTCATTCCTGCACATGCCTCTTGCAGCCTCTCAAAGGAGTTTGAGAGGCCGCAAGTGGCATGTGTGGGCTCATTTGGACATGCCCATTGAGTCTAAGGCCTAAACACACAAGACAGAGATGGTGGATGGAGAGCCAGGTGACCCTTACCCAGGGTCACAGAACAGGTCAACAGTAGAGTCAGAAAGAGAATGCAGGTCTCCCAAGTCTCAGTCCAATATCCAATCCAAGCTACTTGCCCTGTTCTTTGTGCTTGTACCTGCAGTTAGCAAAACATTTCCACGCCATTAGCAGTGTGGATGATTGCTGGTGGCAGGTTCATTAATGCTGTTGGAAATGATGCAACTAAAATTGCTGTATGAGTGATGTGTTCCCAGCATTTTATTCAATAAAGCCTCTCATTAAAGCCCATGCACCCTCTCATTAATTTCCTCTTTAAGATTTGGTTAAAAAAGAAATAGAAAGTCTGATTTAACTCTTAATACCCACTCCCCTTCCCCATACACCTTTTCTGCTCACCTCAAAAATTCTCTAGGGGATAAACAATTTTGTCTTCCAAGAAACATTAAGTGCATCTTTAAGAAAAAGTTTTAAGAAGGGACAGCTCCTTGTATCATTGAAAGACCCTAATACTATATACTTTAAGAAAACTTATAGAAAAGGTTTTATAGACTTGGAGTGGCTGAGACATATGAAGCACCTTTGATAGGCATGTATCAGTGATATTTAAATGAGGGCTGGGTATAGTTGCTTTGCTTATTTTCAAACTTAGTGGAACATAACTGTGAAAATCTGACTTGGTTGCTATTGGGTTCATGATATGCTTGGGAAATATGAGGGGGAAAAAGAAGCAGAGAACAAAAGAAGGAAGAGAAGGTGGCTCCACCTGCCTCCTTGGTGGCATGAGTACAAGGCTGCCTGTGGTCTCTGTTGGTTGGGCAAAGGTCCCCTTTAGCTCTGGGTTGCCAGCACCTCCTCTGGCTCTCTCATGAGAAGTCCAAGAGAGAAGGCTGCCTAGGCTGGCCTGCGGGCCAGGAGGGTATAATTTCAAGACTGCTCCCTGGTAGGGCATAGGCATCCCCCTCTGTTCCTCTTGGGCTGCCAAGGGGTGTTTTTCCCCTCTGACCCATGCATCGCTCAGATGGGCTCCTGAGTCCACCTGAAAATTGTGGGCTGCAAAGCTGCATGTCATAATGCCCTGCTTTCTTCAGGGGTAGCCGGCCCCCACGCCAAGGCCTTGTAGAGTTAGTGCTGCAATCCAAGCCCTGGAAGGGGCTACAAGGATGGATAGCCCAGATTTGGGTTTTTTTCTTTTAAATCTGGAGGTGGCTGAAAGCCCTTGGGCCATCTCACCTAAAGGGAAGACAGCTCTGCCTGTATGCTTTGTGGCTCCAGGCCTGGGCTAGGAAGAGAGACTGCAGAAGTTCAAGCCTGCCCTCATCCTCCGCTAGGTGGGCAAAGGGCCCTTCTTGGGCATGCCCAATTCCTCCCCCAGCCCCATTTTCTGCAGGCTGTGATCCATGGTCAGGTGAAGAGTCCTGTCATGCACCAACAGTCTTCTCTTTTAGAGAAGGGGCAAGGTGCTGCCTCACGGGGGCTCCTAGCTGTGGACTGTATTCTTGAGTGCGAAATCTGGCCATTTGAGGGGACCCAAAAAACCAAGCTGCGCCTGCCATGAAGCATTCAGCAGTATTTCCCAGTGGAGGTATAGTTCGGGATTGTGGCATTCCAGGTTTATCAAGAGTGAAGTTTTCCTCAGATGCTCTGTGGGAAACATTTCACTCAGTGGAAAACCAGTTTTCACAGTAAAACAGTTTTGACTGAAAGCTTTTGATTAGCCTGAGCCATCACCTAACCTCCACTACTGGGACACATCATCAGAAAACAAAGCTCCATAAAGTGGATAGTGCTGGTCAATGAGGTGGTGGCTGATTAAACACATTCCAGTCCCCTGCTCTGCTAGCGGGGTGCCTAAGGGTCTCCAGCAGAGCTTCTATCTGTCTCTATAGGCCGAGGGCATAAAAAGAAATGTGGTTGTAAAAAACCTACCTACTCTGCAAGGAGAATGTGCACCCTACAGTGCAGAATTCTTTCCTGGCACAGCTTCTTGTGGCAGCAAGGTAAATCCTACTCGTATCACATAAAGTAGATAAAGACATGCAGTGTCAATATAATGATGAGAACATGAAAACATACACACAACATATCCTGTCTATAAAAGTCTGGAAATCTTTTTGGTATGTTTGTGAGACGCACTCAGGTAGATTTTACTTTGTGCAACAGAACTAAAAGGGGACTAGAAACCACGTTATCAATACTTTAGAAAACAGAATGAAAATCATCACAGAGCTATGTGAAACAATACTGAAACACTGCACAGAGACTCTAGTTCATATATATATGTGCTGACCAGCAACATTTATTCCTTTATATAGAACACCATTGGTGTTTCTCTGCAACTTCTTTTGCAAAGGGGTATCTTGAACTAACTTGCGTCTCTCCTTTTAGACAGTGTTTATGTAAGGAAGATAACCTGGAATCAATCTTCCTACGTTACAGTTACAAAATGTGGAAGCACGTGTATTATGCAGAGCATTTAAGGCTGTAAGTGAAGGACAGGACACCCCTCTTCTGATTTGCAAGCATGAATAGTTAAGCTCAGAGTACGTCTTTTGCTTCATTTGTATGTGGGCCAACAAAGTGTTATCGTAAATATTGATATAAAGATGTGAATTTACAACAGCTCATGACAGTTTTATTTTAATGAAATTTAAAAAGGCAATTATTAGTTATACATACACACAACTGATCCTGTAATTGTTAGTCATAAATATAGAACATTCAGAAGTACAAAATACACTTTATCCACAGCACAGTTTCACATCATTATGAAGAGTTTAAACAGATAAGTAACCAAGTGGTAACTTGATGACTGAAGCCCATTTTTGGCATTTTTAAAAACAGGTTGTTACTCTAAGCAAACTGATCCACATCCATGCAGTTGTAAACCCATGAAAACATGCTCATTCTGGAGCCGGAACAGTGCAGGAATAAATGTGATGATACTGCCCCCATTTTGTTTTCTCCTTTCATTTTTTGAATGGATTTTCTTTCTTTCCC